CGTGAAATGCAAGCTTCTCAGCAATGTCTGATGCGGCGTTCTTGAGACTAAAAGCTTCCCGATTCCCCTTGCATGCCCGAGCATAGCCGGTATGCGAGTCACACTCTTCACATCTATTCACCCTTTGCTGTCTGAACATGGAATGCTGCAAAATGCAGAGCTTGCACCTCCCCTGATCTCCCCTGTGTGGTGCAGCATGAATTAGTGTGCGTTGAAGCCAAAGGATGCCAAGGAGCCGAGCCTCAGCTCTCACTGTCGCCTTGACGCGGGGCACTGACACTGACAAAACAGGTTCCACGCTTGTAGAGCGGCTGCAGGGTTCGGTGTCAAACAGGCTCGGCTCAAATTGCTCGGTGCATGAGAGCATGATCTCTTTGCATGTCGAAATGTCATCGTTATCATCATTCACGGGGTTTTGCGGTTGTGCTTTTCCTTCACCTTCCCTGACTGAGGCACTAGCAACTGTAAATTCCAACGTGTCGCTCGCACTTCCGATCTTCGAATGTAACACGTCTATGCCTGTAGGGGCAATTTCATCTTGTGGCTCCAGGCAGGTGTTTGCATGCGTTAGTCTAACGATGTCTGGTGTTGCCACAAGACAGGCTTTGTGCTGAAACGAACTAGTTAATCGTGCCCGGGAGTTGAAATGTAAATCCCTGTCGAAACATCTCGGAAGCACAGAGAAACTACACGTAGCTCGCCTCGCATCCAAATACTACCTTTAGCCTTGAGGTCGGGACAAGTTTTTACCAGGGATGGCTCAAAGCGAAAACGGCTGCAGTTTTAACTGTGCTTGCAACATGACCTTACAGTCGAAGGCAGCATCGGCCGACTGGCATCGGTGATGTGAAAGGTGATTGCTTGTGTAGCGATCTTCTGAACAAGCGGCCGGCAGATGTACGTGCATCCCTGTCTGACGAACGGATTGTTTTTGGATCACAGTTAGTTTAGGTGTGCCTTCCCATAGTGGGTGAGTATGGGTCAGTTTTGGCTGATACATGGCTCTAAGATGTGCAAAGAATCTGCAAAGAAAGCTCTTTGCTTTGCGTGTCTCATTGCAGCTGTGATGCCATGTCCTGGGACGCTTCCCTCCCAGCTCGAAGACCGATCCGTTTCGAAGAACACAGTTTCGAGTGTGCCGCCTGGCTCTGCTAGCACGCGAGGGTCGAGGGCTTGCAGTTCTACATAGAGTTGGTGCCTTGCAAGTTTTGCGGGGCACAACTCGCCTCAGCCCCCGAAGGAATGTTAAGTTTCCTCGGAAGTTTGCAAGCGTCCTTGTCCCCGTGTGACCGCATTTGATCGGGGTTGCTGCTGCGGTGTTGCTCCAGTCCTAGCATCGAGGTTGCGGAGGTCTTGAACCTGGGTGCTCGTGCTTGCTGCTGGTGCTGCTGGTATTTGTGTAATAATTTTGCTTTTGCAAAGTCGCAGAGCCCGCAGTCCTGCAGACTATCCTATCAGGCTTGAGCCCGATCTTCTTCGTGGCCTACCGCTGCACGAAGCGCTGTCTGCGTGGGGTCACCACTGGCGAAATGACGTGACACCCATGATCTCCAGCACAACCGGAGCAGGGGTTCAGGGGATACAGTACCGGGATGAGGGTGAAAGGGTTGGCTAACGGCTAACTTGGTTAGGAGTTTGACATTTGCGGTTTTGATTTGAAAAGCGTCGTCATCATTGGGCTAGGCAGCTTTCTCGACCCACGCATATAGCCATGGCTGTGTCCATGAAGTGGACGAAGTAGACACCCTGTGTCTATTGAAGGAGACTCTCCTGCCGAGAGTTCTTTGGCCTAGCTTGTCCCTGCTGGCCTCCAACTTCAGACAACATGGCAGCCTGCCACAAACCTTTCATCACTTCGTTTCAATGCTGGGGAAGCAGAAATCCCCAAGGAGCTACGCGCTCAGCCGTCCCACCAACGCCTTTGATGGCTTCCTCAGCCATGATTGGGCCTCGAGTGGTTGGCTAAAGCCACTCGGCCAAGGTTAGGGTTCAATCTAGCCCACTCGTTTCAGTGAAAGGCACGGGCCGGTGGACTTGAGGACGGAAACTCAGCTTGCTTTGCTGATCGTTAATCTCGATGTAGGATGCTGACCGTTTCTTAGCTGAGTTGAAGGCCTGTTTTTTAATTTTTTCCGGTACGCCACAATGCCTGCCGATGGAGTCGTCTGATCCAACATCTCATAGAAGGGGCTTTCATTCCCTGGCTGGTCCTTCCTTTGTCTTTGTGCTCTTGTTGGGCTGAGCCCAAAGCACGTCTTGGATGGCCGCGCGCTTTGTTCTGGGTCCGAAAGAAAAATCAACACTGATCAGTCAAAGGAAGAGACCTGGGCGTTCCTAGGTCCCAGTTGCACTGGAAGTCCTGAGACGTTCGCTCTCCAAGCCAGCCTAGGTTTCTTTCCCTACTGATCATCTTCAACTCAGGCACGCTGCACAAAGCCGTGGCAAAAGCCATTGAGATGTTGCATGGGCATGGCTCTTCTTGTGTGTTCGGTATTCAGACAGGATTTGGGACCAATTCCGTGTTGCCGATGAATGATTTTGAGGGTTCAGGCTTTATCGTATCTGATGTGGCAAGAAAGGACCATGTGTCATATCGCAGATATCCCCGGCCATGTTCCGATTTCCGGCATTCGCTTGGTACCAATTTTCATCAACGGATCTGCGGCAGATCCTACTTGGAATCCGACACGCCAGACTAGTTTGGTTGATGCTGTTTCAGAGTCTAAGAGCGCGCATACCAGCCGCCTTCCCTGAAAAGCAGAAGTCCTTCTTAAGCATTCCAGCATTAGGCATTTATGTTTAATCACAACGTTGTGGTTAAGGTGCTGCCTTTTGGTCGTGCCTCGTGGTCAGTGTATTGGTGGGCATTCTCCGTGGTTACGGCCGCTTAGCAGCAAAGACCGTGGCCCCTATGGCTTGGCCTTGTCACTTCCAAGATACTTCTTCATGCCATCTTAACAAAGCATGCCATACACAGACATCGTCGAATCACGGCAAGGTTGTCCAAAACAGCATCCGGAAGTCAGTTCTCAAAAATCCCTGCGAGGGTCATGCCACAGCCACTTATTGCAGCCAGGATCCACGCTTTGATTTGTTGAATCCACGGCTTCTCGCACACGAGAGCCAACCCGCAGTCTTGGCACATGAATTCTTGGCGTAGATGCAGCCGTACAGAGTCCTTGAACAGTTGATGCATGGCTCGCAGTATCAGCCTATCTCATCAACGACATCAACAGTCTCCAAGGTCGTTCGTGACAGTTTAATTCTGTTTGTACAAACGGTTTTGCGGTCATCCAAAAAGGTCATTGTGAAGCTGAGGTTGTCTTCCAGATGAACCCTGGACTGTGGCGTTTGGCGACTATGCTTCTCTATGTACAGAGTGAACACGGTGTAGCTTGCAAATCAGGGTGCAGCTTCTGAGCAGCTAAAGATCATGCCCATAAAGGGAAAACCGTCCTTTGGAAGCCATCGTTCCCAAGTCATGGAAAATCGATTCCAAAGTGTTGTTTTGCGGAAGCAGTCTTCAGGCCACTTCATCTACTTCTTCGTCTTTTTCTTCTGGCAGCGGCTGCAAATGTGCCTGGGCTTTGAGCGGATTCGGGGCTTCATCGGCTTCATCGCCTGGAGGAAACCTTTGTTTCATGCTGTTCTGCAGAGTCTCTAACCGCTTCGGCACTCGCAGAAGGCCTGAGGCGCCCAAGTTTTATGCGAGGCCTTGCCGGCACTCTCGGATGATGTTTCTGGACAAGGTGGGGGGGACTCGAACAGCTCCTGAAAGCTCGGAGCCGCTGTCAGATTGTTGTGGAAGGACAGGAGGTTGCAATTTTTATTTGCGTTTCTAAGGGCTAAATTTCAGTTGATTGGCTTGCAAAAAACTTTTTTCGGTCTCGAGTTTGGCCAGGTGTGCGTGGCACAGCATGACGATGAGCAGCTAGGCCGACAACGGAGGGCACATGAGAGTCCTGGGCAGTAATCGACGGGACGAAAACCTCAACTTGTATTCCGGATGTTGACAATCGTACTAGAACCCTGCATGCTGCAATCTAGGCCTGCTGGTAGAATACGCTCACCTGCTTGCAGCTGATGCTTGTAGGCATCGTTTCAGTCTAAGGTTGAAACACAAAGCAATTATGGGACTGGCTGCGTTTTTGCTCAATTCGCAGGAGCTTCTCAGCTGCATTTGATGAGTGTGCTTTGGAGCATTTTGGAGCAAACAGTTCCCTCCCTGGAACCCTCCTGAAATTTCGCTGATGCACTCCGACGAAATCTAAATGCATCAGCTCTCGTAGGCGTAAGTTTGAGCGTTCGGATGCCTCGCGGTTTCCCAGCACGTGGTCGTCCTATGAATGGACCCAGCAGAGCCTGACTTCTTCTTGACGGTCGGCAACACAGATCGGACCTCCAGATGGGACACGCGATGGCTGCAGGCACACAGACATGCGCACATACGCACGCGTCACCTGCCACCGATGCCGGCAGGCCGACAGGTTGTTTGTATTGACTCAGGCCCCATTGATGGAGTCCCTGCGGACAACTCGCGCCGTAGCGACATACCTGGGAGATCGCGCTTTCAATTCCTTCGCGAGATGCATGCTGTCAGTTGCTTACTCCATCGGCACAAGTTTGCAGCGAACACGCAGTTGAGTTCAATGTCTTGCACAAGCATTCGGAATTCTTCACGACTACGAGAATTGAGACGTCTGTCGTCAAGAGGCAGCAACCAGGCATGGGGCTTGCAGTGCTGGCTTGGCGTTTTGTCACCATCCGGCTGCAATAAACCCATTCAAGCGCAAGCGCCCTCTTGCCCACCGCGCAAGCTCAAACTTGTACAAGTCCGGACGCTTACCGCGTCACAGCCTTGATCGTCCCTGACCTCGTGCGATTTCCTGACCGAACACCCCTAAATTGGCGATGTGAGCTCAAGCGGACTTAAACTCCGGATTCCACGGAGCGTCAAGAAGAGCATTTTCGGAGATCTTGGAAGCATTGTGTGAGAATCTACCCGGTGTCCTTCTAAAAACGCGTCCACGGATTCTCCTCGGATTGAAAAGACTCAAGTAAGCTGCTGTCTTACATCGTCTGGTGTTGCATAGCTGCAATTAGCATGTCTCGCTGTGTTGCCGTTTCGTCAACTTACGGTTGAGGTTCTGACGAAGGGCATTCACGAAGCGAGTTGTCCGAACAATGAATTCTTGGTTTGCACAGATGTCTTTGAGACGCAGATCGTGGATTTGGTGACCTGAATTTAGCCGATTTGTCAGAGCAAAACTCGTTCAACTTGAGGCGAGCTGGCCCCAGATCAGAGAACATGTGACTGCTACCGTCTATGCCACCGAGCCCAACTGTAACCTTTCCGCAGCCGAGGCTGATTGTGCTGCTGTCATCGAGGTCTCATGCCAATGACAGAAATCCGAAACTGGGGAGCCTTCTGGTGTGTCTGGCCAATCGTTGAGCAGGGATAAAGGCTTAGAGGCTAGACTTTCCCAAAGCTCCAGACGAGAGTTAACTAGTAGCAGCAAACCTGACGGACGGATGCAGAAGGGTCGTGAGGCCCATGAAGTCTGTCGCAAACAGGCACTCCATCCTGGCCAAATTCAACACACATGCATCCCACCGTTTCCAAACAAGTCGACTCACAACACCGTTCACAAAACAAGACAAGACTAAACAACAGTGATTAGGTACTTTACGAGATTATGGTGCGTTTTCGTGACTTGGTGGCGCTTTGCAACAACTGTGTTAGGTGCTCTTGGGACCGGCTGTCTTGGTTTAGTGCAGTAGAAACGAAACTGCTACTGGGAAACTTTAGAAAAGCAGCCAAGGAGATTGCCACATTCATGAAGGATCCGGAGCGACGTAAGCATATACGCTTGATGCCGTTGAAGAGCACTGTTTTGCTCCTCTTGGTGTCTGGATGTTGGTATTTCTTGAATATTGGCTTCAACGCGACTAAATTGGTTTTCTGGAACTATGACGCGGATGAGTCGGGTTTCCTGTTCGAGACAGTGGCTGCAATCGTATCCATGGTTTTTTTCTGTTTCGTCTTGCTGCCCATTGCCTTCTACGTCGGCATGGAGATGAGCGAGGACATGGAGGTTATGCCACAGCAGCTGCGAAATTTTCGCGTGCAGGATTCTCGGAGTCATAAGCATTGCTGGTTCAAATTGCTGACCACTGGCGAATACTGAGTAGTAGTAAAGTATGGATAGCACCCTCTTCTGTTCCGTTAAGAGTGCAGGCCCTCGCTTCGCTGCGAGTGTTTTTGGCATCTGAGAGTTGCAGTTTCTCCGGACGAAGGTTGCTGATGTGGGGGCTTTTGTGCTGAGGGATCACAATTCAGTGCTCGGGGATGGCGTTTACTTCGACAAGTGACGAGCGATTGGAGGGTACTTGTTCTTCGGGTTGCACGGTCCACCACCCCTGCAATTCATGCGAAGACTAGAAGGTTTCCGTTCGCCCACGGCGATGCTCACACTAGCACAGCTAGCTGGCCAGCTTAGTAGGGCACACCTTGGGGAAGCTTGTACGATGAGAAGCATGGTTCCGCAAAGTGACTCGTCTGCGCACAAACTAGTAGCTTCGGCAGTGACCTCCAAGCACAAGGGCGCAACCTTCAACACCGAGTGCGAACAAAACAGTGGCGAGCTTCGTTTGCGAGCTGCCGAAGAAGTCGCGCAACAGTCGAAGTCCAGCTGCCTCTCTCGACTTCTTGATTGTCGCGACTCCATTGGCATGATACGAAACCGCTTGACAAAGCCCAAGGACGCGAAGTGCCTCTGCTGCTCCATCGACCATCGAGACCCCGTCACGGGAGCACGGCTTCCTTGCGGCCGGCCTTGATTTGTGGAGCGAGCTGTGAAGAACACAATGGGTTTCAGGCTGCGATGGGGTTCGTTGCAGGACGTAGACTGTTGCTTAGATTTCGCAACTTGTGTGTTGATTTCTGCCTGAGCGCTTCCTAAACCAAAACCTTGAACCTTGCAAAGCGACCAAAAACCCAAGGCCAAACCGAGATTCTCCGAACTGCTGCCACCTCGAATGCAAAGGCTCCAAACGATAGAAGTCACCAAAGCCGCAACATCTCAGCAGCGATCAAAGGCGACCGAGAGGTGCTGTACGCCACGATGAAGGAGTGGTATGGCGGAGATGGTGCAGGTGGGAGCGGTTGGGAATCACATGTAAACCATGGCGTTCGGAGGACCGCGCCCATTTCCGTGAAAAACACAAAATTTGCTCTCACACACAAGTAGTTAGGGCGAGAGTTTCCTCATACTTCTGACACCGAATGCTGTAAATACCACATGTTTTGGTTGCGATTGTTTCGGCGCACGCCCGTGGCGCGCGGTGCGTAGTAGTAACAGTAGTAGTAGTAGTAGTAGTAGTAGTAGTAGCAGCAGCAGCAGCAGCAGCGGTAGCAGTGGTAGCAGTGGTAGCAGTAGTAGTAGTAGTAGTAGTAGTAGTAGCAGCAGTGCTAGCAGTA